TCTACATTTCACCTTTGACTGTATAACCCATCTATATTCTAACACATTTATCCTCTGGCCCTATTTGCCCTGTTTGCTCTGTGCAGAGTGCTGATGGACACTGATGACATTTGTTGTTGTTAACTGCCTTCAAGTTGATCTCAACCCATGGCAACCCTGTGGATGAGACATCTCCAAGACTTCCTGTCCCCCATTGCTCTGCTTAGTTCCTGCAAATTCATACCCCTGACCTCCTTAATAGAGTCCATCCATCTAGCATGTGGTCTTCCTCTCTTTCTACTTCCCTCAACCTTTCCCAGCATTGTTGTTTTTTCTAATGAGCCCTCTCTTCTCATGATGTGTCCAAAATACAACAGTCTAAATTTTGTCATTTTGGCTTCCAGGGAGATTTCTGGCTAGGACTCATTTATTTGTCTTTTTGGCTGTCCACAGAATCCTTGGCACTCTTGTCCAGCACCACATCTCAAATTCCTTCCTGTCTTGTTTCTTAATTGTCCAGCTCTCACATCCATACATGGTAATAGGGGATACAATGGCTTGTATAATAATAATAATAATAATAATAATAATAATAATAATAATAATAATAACTTTATTCTTGTTTCTGTCATGACAATCAAGGCAGCTTACATGAAGTAAAATAGATTTAACTAAAACATAGCCTGAATTAATAATAATAATAATAATAATAGACCCCCTCTTTAAAAAGAATTAAATACAGTATTATTTAAAATAGGAACAGAAGAAAAAAGAAAAAAATTGACCTGTTAAAACAACAACATGACATTAAAATAGCAATATTTCTGATGACAACAGTGGTTGCATAAAGTGGAGAGAGCACAGAGTAGGTTGAATTGCTTTATTCGGGGAAGGCCTGCTGGAAGAGATTTGTCTTAACAGCTTTAAAAAAAAAAGCTGTCTAAGCTGGTTATTTGACGGATCTCTTCCGGCAAGACGTTCCATAGAAAACGTCCTTTGGGAGGTTGCCATTAATCTGGTTTTTACAGGTTGCAGTAAATTCCTCCCAGAGGACCTGGGGACGTGGGGCGGATTATATGAAAGGAGGCAATCCCTTAGATAGGTTGGACCCAGGTCATGAAGGGCTTTAAGGGTAACTATCAACACCTTATACTGTGCTCGGAAACCAATAGGCAGCCAGTGAAGGGATTTCAGGATAGGTGTAATATGATCACTCCTAGATTTACCAGCCTGGCTGCCATATTTTGTACTAATTGTAGTTTCCAAACTAGGTATAAGGGTAGCCCCATGAAGAGTGCATTGCAGAAATTCTAACTTTTGTGCTCAGTTGTATATCTTAGCATTTTAGATTCTTTTCTAGTTCTTCAATAGCTGACCTCCCTATTCTTAATCTTCTTCTGATTTCCTGGCTACATCCCCTGTTCCTGTCAATGTCAAGGTATGAGAATCAATTTACTATTTCTATTTCCTCATTGTCTAGGCTGAAATTGTGTAGATTATCCATGGTCACTATTTTTGGTTTCTTCATGTTTAACAGCCTTTGCACTTGATCTTTCTCAGTAGTTGTTCCAGGTCTTTGAGGTTTTCTGCTAGTACTATGGTGTTACCTGCATACCTTAGATTGCTGATATTCCTTCCTCCTATTTTCACCCCTCTTTCTTCTGTGTACAAACTTGATTTTTGTATAATATGTTCTACATATAAGTTAAACAGATAGAGTGAAAGGATGCAGCCTTGTCTGACCCCTTTGCCAATTGGAAACCATTCTGTTTCTCGGTGTTCTGTTCTGCCAGCAGCTTCTTGTCAGGAGTACAGATTCCTCATCAGAACTATGAGATGTATTGGTACTCTCATGTCTTTAAGGGTGTTCCCCTTAATGATCTACACAGTCAAAGACTTTGTTACAGTCTATAAAGGACATGCTGATTTTTTAAATATTTATTTTTATTAATGTAGCATTTCATACAAATTAAAATTCTTAATTTAATTATAAACTCAAGTATTTATTACTACTATTTGCAATTTCTATGTAAAGGAGAAAAGAAAAAATAAATAAATTCATTTAAATTCTTAAATGTTCCTGTTAGTTTTAATTGCAGCAATTCTTCCAGAGAGCGATAATTTTAGTTTTGACCAATTTTCAAGGTCTTTCTTAATTTTTTTTTCCAGATGTGAGTACACTTGTTTTCTAATGTTTCTTTTTGTTATCCAGATCCTGAGGTATTTAGTCTTTTTTATAACATTGCACTTGGTTATCTCTTGAAGATTGGTATCTTCTGTTGTTGACATGTTTTTTTTGTAATGACCCCCAACTTTTGAGTGTTTATTTTAAATCCAGCAACTTTACAAAATTCCATTATTTTATGTATACATTTTGGTAGCTCCTCTAGAAAGATCACGACATCATTGGTGTAGGCCTTGAGTTTATATTCAAATTTCTTGATCTTTACACCTGTTATCTCTAAGTCTGCTCTTATTGTATTATTAAGTACCTCTAGAACTGTTATGAAGAATAGGGGTGATAATGGGCAGCCCTGTCTGGTTCTTTTGTAAATGTTAAATTGTTGGGTCTTTTCACCATTAATTATAAGTTGTCTAAGTTGTTCTTTATATATATATATTGTATCCTTCCTCAAAATTTATCACTAACTCCCAGTTTACCCAGGGTCTGTAACATGCAATCCCAAATGATGTTATCAAAAGCTAAATTGAAGCTGTCATACTTTGGTCACATCATGAGGAAAAATGAATCATTAGAAAAGAAAAAAGATGCTAGGAATGGTGGGAGGCAGCAAAAAGAGAGGAAAACCACATGCCAGATGGTGAGACTTGATCAGGGAAGATGCAGGCCTGAGCTTGCAGGCCCTGAGCAGAGAGGTTGAGGACAGGGTCTCTTGGACATGTCTTATCCACAGGGCCACCATGAGTTGACTTAAGGGCAGCTGACAACAACAACAACAAAAAGATATAAATTTAGATGTATTGAATTTTAAATAGAAAATTCAATACAGATTACCAAAGCAGGAAAGATAGCGACCAAGTGACCTGTGTCCCTGCTGTCTCAGTATCCATGCATTAACTTTTGATTGGCAACTTCAAGGCTGTTTTTTGTAAGTTTTTTTTAAAAAAAATATTTACACTAACTGTAATTGAGAAGAATTGACAATGTGTTGATCTCCAATGACTTCAAATGGAGAATGCTTTTTCCCATTAACTAGAGCACATGGCAATATAAATTAAAAGGTACTTTTATTATAAAAGTTGCCACCTTACAAAACTAGTTGTATGATTTTCTAGAAGGAGGTACTCTTAATTTTTGATGGCAATAACATTAGAATGTGTACTGAAACTTTGAGTTTGAATGAATAGCAGTATTTGCCTCCAAGCCAACATGATTAGGATTTAACCATAGATCTTTTATTATTATTATTATTTTAAATGATAGTTCTGTGGTTGCACTACTGGTGAGTATCCTAAGTTTCTGGACAGAGCCTGAGAATGTTCATACTGTTGTGGGGATTCTGAAAGTTATAATCCAAAACCATAATGTTCCCAAGTAATGCCTTACTTTCATGAAACTGTTCTGAAGTACAGATTTATTATGTCATTGTTAACTAAAAATGAGAGGCATCTTGAAGCAGCTTGCCTAAACCATAGCTGAAACTGGAAAGAATACTTGTTATGACTTTTAAAATCTAAAAGCAAGAATGAACCATCTGTGTGCTATTGTGTGCCTATTTCACAAAAACTTGAAGAGGAAAATTAAACCCTAGAGTCCTTAGGTGATATCATAGTCTGAGAGTTCCCCAAAAAGTCTAGAAGATAAATGATCTCATATTGTAGCTTTTCTCCTGTCAATGACCCCAACAATAAAACACTATGCAGACTGTATTCTAGCCGAAAAAAATTCACTGAACTCAACTTTTCTGCAATGAATGAAGAGTAAATTACATATCAAGACTGATACATAAGGAACAAAGTGTGGTATATTTTGTACCAAACTTTTTTGAAATAAGAATACAGTTCTCCCTTTCTTTTTGATTGTATAGTATTAACTCAAAAGAGGAGGCAGTGATAAGAGAATATGAAGCCAGTGCTGTGTAGTGGTTTGAGTATTAGACTATGACCCTAGACACCAGGGTTCAAATCCCTGCTCTGACATGGAAACTCAGTGGGTGACCTTGGGCAACTCATATGCTCTCAGCTTCTGAAGGAGGAAAAGGCAAGCCCATTCGGAACAAATCTTGCTAAGAAAATCCCACGATAGGTTTGCCTTAGGGTCGCTATAGTTCAGAAATGACTTGAAGGATCACAACATCAACAAGGGTAGTGCAGACTAAGGGTCTCTAGATACTCTAGATATGATAATACTGAAGGACTGTTGTTCATTAAGCATTTTAAAGAGAATCAACCTTATTAAAGGCTTTGCAATAATATATGCAGAACAGGGGGATTTTCTTCTGAAATTCACTGATGTGCTCCATTATCCAATTTATGTTTGCAATATTATCCCTAGTGCCTTTTCCTTTCCTGAACCCAGCTAGGACATCTGGCTTTTCTTGCTCCATATATGGTAAAGGTTTTTGTTGTAGAATTTTGAGCATCACTTTGCTTTCATGGGAGATTAATGCAATGGTCATAAGGTTATTGCAATCCCCAGTGTCTCTAGTGGAATGTAGCTTGAAGCAGCTCTATCAGTATGCCATCTATTCCTTCTGATTTATTTCTCTCAAGTGTCTTCAGTGCAGGTTCCACTTCACTTTCTAAAATTGTAGGTTCATCTTCAAATAGTTCTTCCTTGAATGTATCTGTCATCTTTTCCTCTCTTTTACATAGTTCATTGGTGCATTATTGCCATTGTCTTTAGATTTCTACATGGTCATACAATGTGTTCCCCTTTTGGTCATACAGCATCTCCATTTTGGGTTTAAATTTTCTTTTTGTTTGTTGGACCTTGTGGAAGAGGTCTCTTGTTCTTCCTTCCTTTTTGTCATTTTCTGTTTCTCTGCATTGATATAGTAGTTCTCTTTGTCCCTATGCACAAGTCACTGAATGGTTGCATTCATGGTTCTGACCCTATTTCTGTCCCCTCTTACCAGTGTCACTGAGTTTGGCATCATAGAATCATAGAATC